TCCTTCTAAGAAGAGACACCAGAGAGCCCCCCCACCCGACATTTGCATGCTCAGAGGCAAGGCCATGTGAGGCTACAATGAGAAGGAAGCCATCTGCAAGCCAGGAGGAGACCCCTCACCAGAAACCAAACCCTCCCAGAACCTTGATCTTGGACTTTTCAGCCTCCAGAACTGACAGGAAATAAATTTCTGTTGTCTAATCCATCTAGTATGGTATTTTGTTATGGTAGCCCAAGCAGACTAAGACTCCTATTGCATAGGAAACTAGGAGTAAAGCCTGGATACATGTGTTTTAAAAAGCTCTCCAGGTGATTCTGATACAAGCTCAGTTTTGAGAAACACTAGTCTACGTTGGGCTGAACCAAAAAGCTGAACCAGAAAGGACAAATAAGTAACAATGATAGATTACAACAGGAGCTGTGACACGCTCATGCCCAGAGTTACGAGAACACAGAGGAGGGGTCTTTCACCCTGCAGGAGGTGACCTAAGAGCTGACTCTTGAAGGTTGCTTCCACCAGCTGCAAAGAGGAAGAGAAACCCATAAACCAAGGAGTGCAGTCTTGCCACAAGATCTCTCCTCCATCTGCTCTCAGAAGATGTCAATCTCAGAAGCTGTGTTAGCCTCAATGCATGGAGCAGAATCTTGAGAGCACTGAACAGCACTGGCAGTGAGGCTGAAGGTACGGAGGATGCCCAAGTCACCTCTTTTGACACAGTTCTGTCCCCCAGGTGTTGGCATTCCAGGCCTCTGATGGGAGTGGCAGCCTTGAGGATCTCAGAAATGCCTTCAGGTCTGTCTTTCGCTGTCTTGGTGAATAGAACACAGCCTCCTTCCACCAGCACCAATCTCCCTATCAAACAGTAGCTTGGCCAACCTTGGTTTTCTCTCCTGAATACACTTTTTCATTCTTGACAACAAAGCCAGGCTGAAATTTTTCCAAATCTTTAAGTTCTGCTTCCCTTTTGATTATAAACTCCATTTTCAGTTTGTTTCTCTCTTCCTGCATTTTACTGTCAGCAGCCAAGAGCAGCTACACTGCACCCTGAACACTTGGCTTAGAGATTTCTTCCACCAAATATCCTAGTTCATCCCTCTTTGGTTCTGCCTTCCACAAAGCACTAGGACATGAACACAATTCAGCCAAGTTCTCTGCCACTTTATAACAAGGATGGCCTTTCCTCCAGGTTCCAGTACCTCGTTCCTCATTTCCGTCTAAGACCTCATTAGAACGGCCTTTACTGTCTGTATTTCTACCAACATGCTGATCATGACTACTTAGATAATTTCTGAGAACTCTGAGGCTCTCTCTACAGCTCTCCTCTTCTTCTGAGCCCTCAACAGAATCACCTTAACAATCCATTCACAGCAATCTAGGCTCTTTCTAACATGTATCTCCAAACTCTTCCAGTGTCTACCCATTACCCAGTTCCAAAGTCATTTCCACGCTTTCACGTATTTGTTCCAGCAACAGCCCCACTTCTCAGTACCAATTTCTGTCTCAGTGGATTCCTACTGCTGTAATAATATACCACAGGCTGGGTAATTTATAAACAATAGAAATTTATTTCTCACATTTCTGGAGGCTGGCAAGTCCAAGATCAGGCATCTTGACACTGACCAATAGGTTCAGTGTCTGGCAAAGGCCCATTCCTCATAGATGGTGCCAGGTAGGTGTCCCTGCATGGTGCAAGGTGGAAGGCCAAAAAGGGGAGGCAGTGTCTGCAGCCTCTTTTCTAAGGACATTCATCCCATCTATGAGGGCAGAGCCTTCCCAGCCTCATCATTCCTGGGGTCCCACCTTTCAAATCCACCATCTTGTGGGGTACAATTCCAACATGAATTCTGGAGGACAACAAACGTTCAAGCCACAGCAGAAGCTCATGCTACTAAAGGGAGCAAGAGTCAGCGTCAACTACATGAAATTTGAGGATGCTCCAGAATCACCAAAGGAAACAGCAAGTTTGATGACTCATACAGGGAAACTTGGTGAACAACATCAAAACCATCAATTCACTGTCATCATGCTCATGAAAATTAAGAAAAATTTGTTTCTGCCTAACTAGATACTAGCTACACCATTATATTATAATGTGAAACGTAGTAAGACAATGGCCCATCCAGTGTATGCTAGTAAATGCTTACAACTGGCTCTCTAGGTGAAAGAAAACCCAATTTCTAGAGTTTGCCAGTTCCCATGGTGTAAATACTTCCACCATGGACAGTTTCAAACTACCAATCTACTTTTACTGAACGAGAAGTTGGAAACAGATACACAGAACTGGCTGAGATGGCGCATACCACTGGGCCTGTCACAGGTCTTTAAAACCCACTTTTTCCCAAAAAGATTCCTGGGGAAAAGCCAAGGCAGCATTCCTGAAATGCGGAGGGCTCCACAAGCATCATCAAATAGATTGCAGCATAAAAATAAGAGGTCAGGAGGAAAAGTGTTTAAACATCTGAGAAATAAATAAAACTGACAAACCTACCGGAAACCAATCTGCATATTGAGGAAAAGTTTCTGAATCAATGTTCATCTTTCCTGTACTAACTTCTTAACCCATAAAATTGACATTTTTTTGAATTAAAAAGAGAGCTGTGTCCTTATTTTAGTTTTAACCCTGCCTTCCCCCACAAACACTTTGTATGGTATCCATTCACTTCAGTTACACATCAAGATCACAATTAGCTTCAAAGGCTGAAGAAAGACAAGTCACTGGGGTGCTTTTCCCTTCACTCATGTCATTCGATCACACAAGACCAGAGACACCTGGTGACAGTGGCATCTGTACCCTGGTTCTTAAAATGGAGTGAGCCTCACAACCTCCTGCAGGTCTTGCTAAAATGCAGAATGCCGGGCCCCACCCCCAGGGGGTTCAGCAGATCTGGGGTGGGGCCCAGGAGTCTTCATTTCTAAAAGCTTCCCACATGATGCTGATGCTACTGGTCCTGGAGTCACACTGATTTTTAAGAACCATTTTATAGCTGATTTTGGATCACTGCCATCAAGTCATCTTTTCTGAGGAACCACAGAGCCCTCCCTTAACAGCCATTTTAATATACAGACAGCAGGAATTTTACACACGTCCCCATGGCCTGCCAATCACTCGGCACAGGCACATGTTTTGGGTGCAGCCATGCATCACTACTGTTACAGCCAAATGTTACAGAGCAAACTGAATGCTGGCTGCTCAGTCCTTAAGATCCTCAACTCCTGGCATTTCATATTTCACCACCACCTGGAGCCTTCACTCCACCACACATGGTGGGCTGCGTGACCTGCCCAGCTTATAGTTGAGAAAGGACAGGGTCCTGAGAGGTGACAGGACCTGCCCACGCTTGCTCGGCATCTTGGACTGAGCCTTACTTTCTCTGCATCGCATTTCTAGTTAGGAGCCTGGACGCGAGAGACACCATGGGCACCAGGGTCACACAGGAGTAACTGGTGGAGCTGATCTCACACCAGGTCATCCCCTGGTTCCCTCCCTCAGGACTTCTTGCCTCTATGCTAACCAGCGCTGGATGCTGTGATTTTCCAACTCCTGCTTGTGACGATTCCAGTTCATCTGGGTACTCCATTGCTATCACATTTGCAAGCAGTTACTTCCCATCCCTGTTTAGACACAGCACGCCCCCAACAGCCTTGCTCCTCACTTCACCCGTGCTGGGAACCATTGCAGCTCCAAAGCTGAGTAACAGTATCCCAGGGGGCATCCAGCTCAACCCCCTACCCCATCTCCACCACAATAACTAGGCAAGGGACTGCCTCGAGCGGCTATCTAGAGGGTCCCAGCACCCCACACTCCTCATGAAGAGGTGTATCTATGTCTGTCTTCCCTTGCCCTGGAGAGCCCGGCTTGGCAGAGGGCCTCACAGCAATGGCAATCCTGTGTTCTTCCAAGGCATTCAGAAATCAGTTCTCTATGTCCATGTCCAGGTGCAATAGCTCATGCCTGTAATCCCAGCACTTTGAGAGGCCAAGGCAGGCAGATCACTTGAGGTCAGGAGCTTGAGACCAGCCTGGCCAACATGGTAAAAGCCTGTCTTTACTAAAAATACAAAAATTAGCTGGCGTGGTGGCAGGTGCCTGTAGTCCTAGTTACTCTGGAGGCCGCGGCAGGAGAATCGCTTGAACCCAGAAGGCAGAGGTTGCAATGAGCCAAGAATGCATCACTGCACTCCAGCCTAGGCAACAAGAGCGAGCCTCCATCTCAAACAAACAAACAAACAAACACTAAGTGATCAGTTCTCTATGTCCAAATAGCTTCTCCCTTTATAACCCAGACACTGTGTATACAAGAGACTAAAGTCCATGCTTCCGTAGTTTGAGCAATGCCTTATGGGTACACACTAGTGAATCTTAGAAGTCAATTAGCTCCTCCAAAGTCCCAGTGGAACATGGTTTGAGGAACTCCCCTGCCCACAGCAATTTGGTGGCCTCATGAGTCAACATTTCTCAAATACATTCTTCAGCACTTAATGTATAATCTTGGACCAGGGACCTAACCTCTGTGTGCCTCAGTTTCCTCATCTATAAAACAGGCAATAACAGTATTTACTTAAAAGGCTTATTGTGACGATTAAGTGGGCTCACGTGCATAACTCTGAGGATAGCTGGCAGAGTGATCCACAGGGTCTGGCTCCGGTAACAATGCTGCTCTGATTATTAGAGAAGCCACAAACTATGTGGCCTCATTTATATCACTTCGAGTTGTCAGTTACATGCAAATTAATGAAAGATAACTGTCTGTCCACCAAATGGCCAGGGAGGCACCTGCAATGTGTTTTTCCAGCAGAGAGGGAAGCGCGGGGCCCACGCCTACCTGGGGTTGGGAAAAGAGGGGAATGAAAGGACTAAGGGGGTCCTTCTGGAACCTATCAGGTCAACTCCCTCTCAGAAGAAAGCCACAGCTGAGCAACAGCCCCACAGACAGATTGAACAGGCGGACAAAACAACTGCTGTCTAAACAAAAGAAGCAGGGCTGCCAACCCCACACTTACTTCCAGGACTGTCCATTGTTCAACCACAATAGCATCGTAGCCCTGTATGGTTTTGCTATCTTCATTGGAAACAGCTTCAAAGATGAATACTCCATCTGTCAAGCCCTGTAAGGAATCTGTGGAAAAAGAAAGAGGCGGGGGTTTGTAAACCGTCCGTGGCAGAAGTCTTCTAAGCAGTAAACATTTCTACTGCATTCATTAATAATCCCAATCAGAACATCTTTTCAGCATGTTAATTAACGAAGGCACACGCAGCCATAGAGTCTATCCAGCCCTATCAGAATGAATGAGGCTAATTTACCTCACAGTTTTGAATAATATCCTTGATTTTATGAGCCCAAATTTCATTGTTAGCAATCACCATTTGATTTCACGCCTTTACCTTCCTTTTCATGCTCCAGCATCAGGATGCACTGGGGAGAACTTACCCAGGGTAAAACACAGTCATTAGAGACAGTTTTTAGAAGGAAACTATATTTAGGTGAGAAGGTTTTTTTTTTTTTTTTTAAGGGAAGAGATATAACACACCAGATCTGAGTTTGTCAGACACATTCTAGATGCGTTAATTCTTGGAAGTTCATGCGATACGGGCTTCTGTCCAGACCACATTTTAGGCAGCTCTTGTCAAGAGGTGGAATTTGGGGGAGGGGGAATTTTCCTAAATAATTTACAACTGGAAATATTTCCCTGGGCACTGCTGTAGTCAATGTACCAGGTTCTGAGCTCTGTACAATTCGACAAGTATACATGAAATGTATAGCATGACTGAGAACTGCCTCAGGCAATGAGGGCAAAAAGAAATAAAGAACAGGTCAGGCCGAGTGGCTCATGCCTGTGATCCCAGCACTTTGGGAGGCTGAGGTGGGCGGATTGCCTGAGCTCAGGAGTTTGAGACCAGCCTGGGCAACACCGTGAAACCCCATCTCTACTAAAATACAAAAAGTTAGCTGGGTGTGGCAGTGTGCGCCTATAATCCCAGCTACTTGGGAGGCTGAAGCAGAATTGCTTGAAGTGGGGAGGTGGAGGTTGCACTGAGCCAAGATCGTGCCACTGCACTGCAGCCTGGGTGACAGAGTGAGACTCCGTCTCAAAAAAAAAAAAGGAAATACAGAACAGAGTCCCTGCCCCTACAGAATACACTAAGGGAAGCATCTTTTGCCCCTTTGTTTTGTGCATGGCTCCTAAATGTCCTAGGTTAATTCTGATAAGGGATCTGGGGAAAGAATGACTTAGAAGCAAGCGGTCTGGGGCTAGGCTCTGTCACAAAAGGTGATGTGACTCTTTCAAGGGCGTGGTCTCTTTTCTATAAAATGGGATTATGGAGAGGCAATCTCTCTTGGTTCCTAGATTCTATGCTATAAACACTGCTCAATCATAATATTATGAACTGAATGGTGTCCTCCCAGAATTCATATGTTGAAACCCTAACCCTCAATGTGACTATATTTGGAGACAGAGCCTTTAGGAAGGTAATTAAGGTTAAATGATGTTCTAGTCCTCACTTAAGTAGAGGGAGATGGGGCCTTAGTCCAATAGGACTTGTGTCCTTATTAGAAGAGGAGGAGAAACCAGAGCCCTCTCTCTCCCTCTCCTGGCGTGTGTCAAGAGGAAAAGCCACATGAGAACACAGCAGGAAGGTGGCTGTCTACAAGCCAGGAAGAGAGCCGCAGCCAGAAACTGAAGTTGCTGAAACTGAGACCATGGACTTCTAGCCTCTAGAGCTGAGAGAAAATAAATGTCTGTTGTTTAAGCCACCCAGTGTGTAGTATTTTGTTATGACAGTCCTGGCAAACTAACACACTTACAAAGCACATTTCAATGATATGCTCTTTAAAAGGACAATTTTTAACAGGAAAAATCTATAATAACGTGACCTTTTTTTTTTTCCCCCACAGGGAGGGAAGGAACACAAATTCAGAAAGTCCTCTGAGTCACGCTGGAGTTCCTAGAACTGCCAGTATTTTCTAGGAGTCACAAAGAAAAAGACTGAAAAGCGTGAATATATAACAATCTTTAGTTTTTGTCTTCCAACAGACCCCACAAACAAAAGGTCATCAGCATAAGAAAATTATTTGCAACAACAGTAACAAAAATAAAGGCTAAGTGCATTCGCTTCGGCAGCACATATACAAAAATAAAGGCTAAGCTTAATATTCTTATATATAAAAAGCTTTAACAGATAGTTAAAAATACTAAAACACCGGCCGGGTGCGGTGGCTCACGCCTATAATCCCAGCACTTTGGGAGGCCGAGGCGGGTGGATCACGAGGTCAAGAGATCAAGACCATCCTGGTCAACACAGTGAAACCCCGTCTCTACTAAAAATACAAAAATTAGCTGGGCATGGTGGTGTGTGCCTGTAATCCCAGCTACTCAGGAGGCTGAGGCAGGAGAATTGCCTGAACCCAGGAGGCGGAGGTTGCGGTGAGCCGAGATTGCGCCACTGCACTCCAGCCTGAGTAACGAGTGAAACTCCGTCTCAAAAAAAAAAAAAAAACTAAAACACCATTAGAAACAAAGGGCATAAACCAGCAATTAATTAGCTCTCTTTCTCTTTCCATGGCCAATAAACACTGGAAAAAAAAAAATTGCACTATCGTTTGTTTGAGATGGATGGAGTATCACTCTCTCTCTTAGACTGGAGTGCAGTGGCACAATCACGGCTCACAGCAGCCCTAACCTCCCGGTCCACGTGATCCTCCCACCACAGCCTCCGAGCAGCTGGGATCACAGGCACTTGCCAGCACACCCAGCTCATTTTTGTATTATTTGTAGAGATGGGGGTCTCACTGCGTTGCTCAGGCTAGTCTCGGACTGCTGGACTCATGATCCTCAGCCTCCCAAGGTGCTGGGATTACAGGCATGAGCCATCGCTCCAGGCCTCAACTTCTTTTTTATTTAACAAACTGACAAATTTTGAAAAGACAATTCCCACTGTGGTAAAGGTATGGTGATATGGGAAAGTTTACAGTGCTTAAGGGAATTTTAACTATATAATCTTTCTAGAAAGCAATTTAACAATGTTGCAGGAGCTTGCCGCACAAGGCCCATCCTCCTTCACCTGGAAATCTGACCTTTCTTGTCTATCCTGAGGTAATTACCTCCAACACCATCAAATATCCACCTACGAGCATTACTTACAAAATTACTTAAACACTTAATCTAAATGTTCAACAATCCAAATATTTAACCATAGCAAAACAGTTAAATTTGTAGCTTTATGTACAGTTAATACTAGGCTATCCCTAAATATCATGGGAACTTAATGATTCAGAAAAATTACTTAGATACAATATTATGGAGAAAAAAGTAGGATATAAAACTACCATATGAGCTCAATATGGATTTTTATGTTAAAAAGGTTTAGACAGACTTTAAGGAAATATACAAAATGCCGGCAGCCGTTATAAGTGGTGGAATTACATACAATTTGAGTTTTCTGTTATATCCTTTTCTGCAAGGTTATTAGCAAGTTAATGCAGGTGTAATACAAGTCAATGGACAACACAGAGGACAATTTCCTTTTTCTCTCCTCTACAAGGCTCTTGAAGGCATAACTAGATTCAAAGAGATGTTTAAAACTATCAGGAGATGATTTTAGTATAAATATATATAATAAATATATATATATATTATATCTAAATCTATAATATTTAGATTATATTTAGTATAATCTAAATAGAAAGAACTTTCCTTAGAGGAGCCTAAAAATGGTAAGATAGAGCCTCAGAGGGGTGAGTGGCATGTTACTGGAGACACTCAAACTTACCCTGAATAACCTTCCAGCCATTCATTACTGGGGTACCTACTGGGAAACTATGACGTGCCACATACTCTTGTAGTCACTGGAGACCTCACAAGCCACAAGACAAAGTCCCTGCCACCATGAAGCTTACCTTGCAGTGGAAGAGGAAGACAATAACATAATGTCCAGGTGACAAATGCTATAAAAATACCAAGTGGACCAAGGGGAGAGTGTGAAGGTGGACACAGTGGTGGCAGCTATTTTTGGAAAAGGCATCAGGGTAGGGCTCCCCACTTTGAGTGAACTAAGCAAGCAAGGGATTTGGATCTGCAGGGTTTGAGAGTTTCAGGAGGAAGGGACAGCCAGCCTGACATACAGAGTGCATGAGTGACAGACAAGGACCAGGTGAGCAGCAGAATCAGGAGAGAAGGTGGTTAAGACTAAATTGACTGGTGGGGAGGCCAGCCACTTAGGGCTCTGTTCATCTCACTTGCTTGGCCAATGCAATATTAGCAGAGGCCAAAAAGCACATGTGTGGTTGAGGCCTCTTGTGTCTTTGCCAGTATGTTGAGAGGGCATACTCCAGCTAGCCACTTGGTTCTAGGGAGACAGGACAAATGGAGCAGAGCTGCTCCAGTGGAGCCCAGTTGAGCCTCAACAGAGCTGCTCCAGCCAACCCCAAAATCTGCCAGAGTAAATCATCACCATTGTAAGCCAATGAGTTCTGAACTTGTTTGTTACACAGCATTATTGGAGTAATAGCTGACTGACACAATGCCCAACCTAGACCTAAAAAACAAGACCACTATACTTTGCTTAGCCTGGGTCCTTATTCCAGAATAATAGGGAGGCCTAAATGGTTCAACAAACCATGGCTACAAGGGTAATAAGCACAGCAGCCTTATCCTGATATTATCCCAACATAAGATAATTCTCCCTTTCAAGTAAGAGCCCTATGGGTAAACCAGTAACATGCTCCAGTTTCTTACTTGTCTCCTATCCTGAAAGTCAGTTATCAAACAGCCTCAGCAAGTGCTAAGCTTACCTCTGTCGTCTGCTTTGCTGAAAAGTTTCCCCAATTGCTTATTCCACGGCCTCCTAAGAGACACTTTCATAGGTGATCAGGGAAAACCAGCTGCTGTACAGCTAAATCACATCACAAGTATTCCGGGGTTGAAGGTGAGCACGGACCATAGTCCAGCTCACTTTTTAAGTTCTGGGTAATACTCCAGGAGTCCATCTGGAGCCCCTATCACAGTAGGGAGGCCCTAAAAGACCCCTTTGAGTAAAACCTTCCCTAGTCTTGACCTGGGGATACTTGAGACTGGAAGATACTCGATGATTCCATCAGGATTATGTCAACACAGTACA